AGTGAATTAAAATTTAGGTAAGGGAATTAAATAAAGAATTATTTACAATTTCTTCAAATTACTAATTATAAAAAATATTTAAATTAATAAAAAGGCAACCTGTCATGGTTAATACAACAAGCGTTTATTTGAGCTAAATTGTATTTATTTTAAAAAAGATATATGTACATATAATTAATTAATTTGATTATATAATATTTTCAAAATCAAAAATTATAAAATATAAAAATTCCAAATTAAATAATTTATTTATTTATATAATTTTAAAAATTTACTTTTATCGTTCGGGCATGTCATCTGAATCGTTTTCTTAGCTAATTCCTAAAACAATTAATTATAAAATTTCAAAGGATATATTTAAATAAATTTAAATACTTTTGTAAAATTATCTGTACCACATTCCCATTCAGGTTGCATTGTTGTTCCTGAATTTTGTTCATTACTTTGACAAAAATAAATAAATAATTGGATTAAAATAATATTCAAAAAGAAATTGTGAATTTTCATTTTTAATTTAATTATTTAATTTAAATTTTGTAATAATATTTTTAAATATTCTTTTAATTAACTTGTGTTGGGATTAAAATTGACTATTTATTTTTATTATTAAATATTTTTAATTCAATAATATGTATTACCTCTTATAAATGCTAAAATTTATTTTGGCAAGATATTTTATTTTTGTGGGCTTTGGTATTTTTAAGATGAATTTTTTTGTTTGTTTGTAAATCTGTTAATTCCCGACAAAGAATTTTAGAGAAATAAAGCAAAAATTAAGGCTACCCTACAACTCATCGAATCCTTAACTCATCGAATCCTCAACTCATCGAATCGGCCAAAAACACTCAACTCATCGAATCCTTAACTCATCGAAACCTCAACTCATCGAATCGGCCAAAAACGATCAACTCATCGAATTTTTCCAAAAGGGGACGTTTGAGTCCCCGTGTTTATTTTTTAGATTTTTTATTGTTTTGTTTATTTTTTTTTTGTTTTCTTCTGGGGTTTCAACTAATTTTGTTAATTAGTTGATCGGGCACTCATCCAAGTTTATCCGGCCAGTGAAAACATTATCAGAACATTATCTCATTCCTGAAAACATTATCTCATTCCTAATAAATTATGCTGGAGATTTTACCGAGTAAAACCGGACCAAATTAGTCCAGTAGACCCCGATTATGCCCAAAAGCCCTTTTTCCTAGCCTCCATAGCAGCAAAAAATTTTTTCAACGAAGATTCAGTTAGCCCTTTCGGGAGAAAAATAAAAACAGGGGACTCAAACGTCCCCTTTTGGAAAAATTCGATGAGTTGATCGTTTTTGGCCGATTCGATGAGTTGAGGATTCGATGAGTTCGTGCCGCTCAACTCATCGAATCCTTAACTCATCGAATCGACCAAAAACGCTCAACTCATCGAATCGGCTAAAATTCCTTAACTCATCGAATCGGCCAAAAACACTAAACTCATCGAATCCTTAACTCATCGAATCCTCAACTCATCGAATCGGCCAAAAACGATCAACTCATCGAATTTTTCCAAAAGGGGACGTTTGAGTCCCCGTGTTTATTTTTTAGATTTTTTATTGTTTTGTTTATTTTTTTTTTGTTTTCTTCTGGGGTTTCAACTAATTTTGTTAATTAGTTGATCGGGCACTCATCCAAGTTTATCCGGCCAGTGAAAACATTATCAGAACATTATCTCATTCCTGAAAACATTATCTCATTCCTAATAAATTATGCTGGAGATTTTACCGAGTAAAACCGGACCAAATTAGTCCAGTAGACCCCGATTATGCCCAAAAGCCCTTTTTCCTAGCCTCCATAGCAGCAAAAAATTTTTTCAACGAAGATTCAGTTAGCCCTTTCGGGAGAAAAATAAAAACAGGGGACTCAAACGTCCCCTTTTGGAAAAATTCGATGAGTTGATCGTTTTTGGCCGATTCGATGAGTTGAGGATTCGATGAGTTCGTGCCGCTCAACTCATCGAATCCTTAACTCATCGAATCGACCAAAAACGCTCAACTCATCGAATCGGCTAAAATTCCTTAACTCATCGAATCGGCCAAAAACACTAAACTCATCGAATCAACTCATCGAATCCTCAACTCATCGAATCGGCCAAAAACGATCAACTCATCGAATTTTTCCAAAAGGGGACGTTTGAGTCCCCTGTTTTTATTTTTCTCCCGAAAGGGCTAACTGAATCTTCGTTGAAAAAATTTTTTGCTGCTATGGAGGCTAGGAAAAAGGGCTTTTGGGCATAATCGGGGTCTACTGGACTAATTTGGTCCGGTTTTACTCGGTAAAATCTCCAGCATAATTTATTAGGAATGAGATAATGTTTTCAGGAATGAGATAATGTTCTGATAATGTTTTCACTGGCCGGATAAACTTGGATGAGTGCCCGATCAACTAATTAACAAAATTAGTTGAAACCCCAGAAGAAAACAAAAAAAAAATAAACAAAACAATAAAAAATCTAAAAAATAAACACGGGGACTCAAACGTCCCCTTTTGGAAAAATTCGATGAGTTGATCGTTTTTGGCCGATTCGATGAGTTGAGGTTTCGATGAGTTAAGGATTCGATGAGTTGAGTGTTTTTGGCCGATTCGATGAGTTGAGGATTCGATGAGTTAAGGATTCGATGAGTTGTAGGGTAGCCGATGAGTTAAGGATTCGATGAGTTTAGTGTTTTTGGCCGATTCGATGAGTTAAGGAATTTTAGCCGATTCGATGAGTTGAGCGTTTTTGGTCGATTCGATGAGTTAAGGATTCGATGAGTTGAGCGGGCACGAAAATTAAATTTTATAGCTAAAATTATTTTTTATGAAACTTTTTTTTATTTTTTATTATAATTTTTCTCTTATTTTTAATTTTTAGCAGAATAATAACTGCGACAACTTATGTTAACGTTTTATTATTTTACATATTAGATACACACATTTAAACCCTAAAAATAATTATTTTTAGCGAAATTTGCCATAAAATTGACTGATTCTCAAAATATCGAAATTATACCTTTTTAGTAAAATAATTTTTTTTTTTTTATAATACAAATTATATATTTTTATATATTATATATTTTTTTATAATAGTTTCTTTATAATACAAATTTGTTAGAAATTAAATTTATAGGTTGATAAAAATATTTAAATATTATTTTTTATTTTAAAAAATTAATTTTGTTTTGTATATATTTTTAAAATTTTTTTTATAAAATTATTTATTTTATTAGATTTTGACTTTCAACTAATTTTAATTTGATAAATCCAATTTTACTGATGTATCGTTCAACTCCTCATCGTAATCAGGTCTTCTAAAAATTTCAAATTTTTTTTATTTTTATCTTTAGGATCCCCTCCTTCGTCCTCCAAGGATGCCTGATCGTCCACTTACCCCTTATATGCGTTATAGTAAAAAAGTTTGGCCAGAAGTACGGGCAGAGAATCCGGACAGTCCTCTATGGGATTTTGGAAGAATAATTGGCCAACTTTGGAATAATTTACCTCCTGCTGAGAAATTGGTATATCAACAAGAATATGAAGTTGAGAAGGTTTTAATATATTAGAAATATTTTTAGTAAGCTCACCTTTTTAGTCAAAATATGAGGAGGCTGTGAAAAACTACAACGCTACTTATGCCCAATATATGGCCTCCAAAAGTCGAGTTAAAGGGTCACAACAAGACAAAGTTGGCAGTGGTGGTGTTAATTCTAACAGAAAATTAATGCCAGAAGCAAATGTTCTTTCAGGAGTATTTATTCAACCTGTGGATGATGAAGACCCATTAGAAATGGCTGGGAAGAGAATGGCTGCAATACGTTATGGTAATTGTAACAAGAGATGTTTTGTTCAAAATTTTCTTTTTTTTAGACCGAAATAATCGTTTAATGTCAGAATTATTTTCACCTAATTATATGCCTGATTCCCGAACATTTGTGCCACAACAAAAAATTGAACATTTTCGAAAGCAAAGCCAATCTTTAGAACAACATCAAAATAAATTAAATGATGAATTGGCAAAATTAGAAGAAATATTTAATCAAAGAAAGAGCGCAATAGAAGAAGTTTCAGAAGCTCATTCGGAAAATATAAAAAGATTATGTCAAGACAAACCTCATTTAGACCAAGAGAAATATAACAAAATTGCCGACGAATACGGTGAAAATTTATTGACAAGTTGGAAACTTTTTGAACAGAAACAAGCAGCAATTCAAGCTAAATTAGGTTTATCTTGAGTGAAATTTTCAAAAAATTTTTTGAATTTTTAGATGCTGATAAACGTGCTAATCCAATACTTAATGATCTAATAATTAGCAAAACACCTCCTTCTTACCAAACAAATGAAGAGAAAACTGATACTGAAAGGGAAGAGGAAAATAACGAGCAATTAATTAATAACAATGAAGTAAATGATGAAGGTAAAATGGAATAGTGGAAAGTAATTTTAATTACCTAATTTAAGTTGACTAAATTTTAATCTGCTAATTTAATTTTCCTTAAGACTTTAATTTTTTATTTTTATAAATTTTCAATTTTTTATTTAAAATAAATGTAAGAGAATTAGCAAGGGGTTTTTGGAATAGAATGTAGTCTATATGAAAGTGGTTGATAATTTTTAAATTTATTTGGAATATGTGCTGTTTTATAGCTCCCTTGATGTAATTAAAGACAATTTATTAGAAGGGAATAATTATCACGAAACTTTAAAGTAATTATAACGAACAAGTTTTGAGAGAGTTTTGTGTTAGAGTTCTTGAAAAATTCGAATCTTTAATGTGAAATCTTCGATATAAACCTCTTCTATAGTACTAGTTCCTTGGTCTACTCATACTATTAGCTCTATAATTCTCTTTTTGTCGATCTTCTTGTTTGCTTTATTCATAATTTCGGTACAATTGATAATCAGCAACATCGCTTCTACATTAAATTTTGTAGTTGTTAATTTATACGTTCAATTACCGTTCATTACTTTTAATGTTTCCACGGCAACTTAAGTGCTTTTACCTATTATTTTCAAAAGTTTCATTTTTTATTTTACTTATAATTTTTATTTCATCAACAATCCGATAACTATAAATATGGAATTTGTTCGTCTGGAGGAGAATTATGTACGAAAAGCATATTCTGAATTAAATTTAGCAAATAAATATCGGGGAAAATTGTCTTTTGTTACAAGCTTTCTTAAAAATTTGCCACAAAATTCCTTAATTTTGGATATTGGTATGTTTGTTTTGCAGATATCAGGGATAATAACTGTTAACCTTCCAAAAAAATAAAAGTTTTTTTTTGTAAACCGATGAATGTCTAAAAAATATTTCGATTGGGACAAAAGTAGTTTAAAAATTAAATATTATTATAAAAACTTTTTAAACAAAAAGGTTGTGGTGAGCATATACATTTACGTCAAGATTGTTTTACAATTGGAATAGATATTTGTTTGCCAGTTGAAAGAAAAGAAAAATCAACAAATTCAAATTTTTTACTTTCTAATTTAATGTATTTACCTTTTAGGTAATAAAATTTAAATTAAAATTTTATTTTCAAAGTTTTTTTTAAATCAGAGAGGGCGTTTTCGATGCAATTCTGCTTATTTCTGTTCTTCACCATATCCCTGTTGAAGTAAGTAAAAATGGAAAAGTATCTCGCGAGCTAAAAAATATTTTGATTTTAAAAATAATGCAGACACAATAGAAAAAATGCAGAAAGTTCCATGATTTGGTCGTTTCGTGAGTTGGTAAGACATTGGCTTTTCAAGACCTTGATTTGTTTGTTCCTTGAGTTAGCCCGACTCGTGATAAAAATATAGGATACTAATTTTGTAAAAATTTAATCATTTAAATCAATGTGTAAATTAAAGTTAAATTAAAATTTCTTGATATTAAAATAAAAATATTATTATTTATTTCTAAAAATACTAATTATAAAATTTTTAAAGCAAAGAAGGATAAATTGTATTAAAAAATGTTTATTAATATCCTTGCCCAAATTATCGAATATTTTAATTGTTGTTTGGGCTAAAGAGCAAAAACAATTTTTAGAATTTCCTTCTTCAGATGTAAGTTATTTTAATTATTTTTTGTATTAAAATTAAATATGTACATAGATACTTGTTCCTTATAATTTGGAAGAACTTTGCATTAAAGGTTGTATTTAATATATTTGAAATATATTTTAAATTTAAAAAGGATATTTGAGAGAAATTCCTTTTAATAAATTTAATACAAAGGAACAAAGAATAATTTTGGTAAGATTAGTATAAAATAAAAAATAATTATCTGAGAGGGTTTGAGTAGATTTGTTAATTTCATAATTTATTTATTTTTAAAGAATTCTATACCAATTTATATCAAATCAATTAAACCATCAAAATCTTCCAATAATTATTTTATTCAATTACTTATTTTATTTAAAGAAAGAATTAAACAAATATTTAAATTATTAAAAGAAGGATTTTTAAATATTATTAAAGAAATTGAAACAAAAACTTTTATTAATTGTAAGTTTAAATTAATTAATTATTTAATAACTAACTAAAATAACAAAAATAATGTTTATTTGGGAGTTAAACAACTCCCATCCAAAAATACGAAAACCGATTTAGTCAGCAACTGTCATTAATGAGAAAACACTCTTAGAAATGAAAAATCTATTAATAAATAATAGATGGGTTGCAAAAAGAAAAAGAGAACAATACAAAAAATAGTACTATTTTCTTTTTCCTTTTAATTAACAAATATTCTGCGTGTATGTACAAAAGACCGGTGTAAAAAAGACCGGAACGGCCAAAAGGGGGTTAAAAGACTGGCACGGGCAAAAAGCGGTAAAAGACTGATAATTTTACCGGATTAAAACCAAACGGGATTAATCCGGAAAAGTCCGGCTGAATCCGGTTACAACTCCGAAATCCGGGTCCGGCAAAATCGATGTTTGATTAATATTTTTTAAATTTATTTTTTTGGGAAAAATTTTCTAAAAATAATTTTATTTATTAATTGAAGTTTTTTTAATTTTTTTTGTAAAAGGAAGGACTTATTAAACTAAAATTTTTTTAAATTTAAAGTGCGAGGTGAAAATCCTTATGGAAATAATATAACAGAAATAGACAATTTTGCTTTAAATATTACACAATCTATATTAAATGAAGCATTTATTAAATTAAAATTTTTACAAACAAATGTGCTTAGGTAATTAATTTTGTGAATATTTAAAAGGGGAAAACTTGTAAGGGGTTAACAATTAAATTTAAATTTATTTTAATTTAAACTAGCGATGGGTTTGGCCACTGGGGTGCCTATTACGATACTGTGGCAGTAAAATACATCGGGGGGTTCTTTAGGTTACGAAACTTCTGCCCCTTGGAAAGCCTAACGGCTTTGGGGGCGCGCTTCGCGCGCCGCTAGCGATTTTTTATGCCTGGAACAAAAGATTAGCCTTCAGTTGGGACTCATCCATCCATTTAGAGTCACTTCGGGACTTCGGCCCTCGTCTTCCCCTCATTTGGACTCATCTTCCACTTAGAGTCACTTCGGGCCTTCGGCCCTCGTCTTCCTCCCAATTGGATTCATCCTTCCACTTAGACTCATCCTTCCACTTAGAGTCACTTCGGGCCTTCGGCCCTCGTCTTCCTCCCAATTGGATTCATCCTTCCACTTAGACTCATCCTTCCACCCTTCGGCCCTCCCTTTTAGATGGGTGTCAGCTCGGGCCTTCGGCCCTCGCCCTTCCTTTTAGATGGGTGTCAGCTCGGGCCTTCGGCCCTCACCCTCCCTTTTAGATGGGTGTCAGCTCGGGCCTTCGGCCCTCGCCCTTCCTTTTAGATGGGTGTCAGCTCGGGCCTTCGGCCCTCGCCCTTTCTTTTAGATGGGTGTCAGCTCGGGCCTTCGGCCCCCACTGGGGTGCCTATTACAATACTATGGCGGTTAAATTTTGCTTTGGGTTTGAATTTGACTCTGCCCGTTGGAAAGCCTAACGGCTTTGGGGGCGCGCTTCGCGCGCCGCTAGCGATTTTTTATGCCTGGAACAAAAGATTAGCCTTCATTTGAGACTCATCCTTCCAAATAGAGTCACTTCGGGACTTCGGCCCTCGTCTTCCCCCCATTTGGACTCATCCTTCCACTTAGAGTCACTTCGGGCCTTCGGCCCTCATGTTCCCTTAGATTGGACTCATCCTTCATTAGATTCCACTTAGAGTCACTTCGGGCCTTCGGCCCTCATGTTCCCTTAGATTGGACTCATCCTTCCACTTAGATTCCACTTAGAGTTACTTCGGGCCTTCTACCATCGCCCTCCCTTTTAGATGGGTGTCAGCTCGGGCCTTCGGCCCTCGCCGTTCCTTTTAGATGGGTGTCAGCTCGGGCCTTCGGCCCTCGCCCTCTCTTTTAGATGGGTGTCAGCTCGGGCCTTCGGCCCTCGCCCTCTCCCTTCCATTTAGATGTGTGTCTGCTACGGGCCTTCGGCCCTCGCCCTCCCTTTTAGATGGGTGTCAGCTCGGGCCTTCGGCCCTCGCGACTCCTTTTTTTTAATATGGTAAATCTAAACCTATGGAGCGTAGGCAAGGCGCTTGTGCAAAACCCCGCGCTTCGCGCGGGGTTTTGCGGCACGCGCCTCGCGGGTCGTCAAAGGTCGCTGGGTTCTGGGCTCGTAACATGATCCTATTCCTATAACGATCAAGTTTCCTATAACGAACCTATTCCAATAAAATCCACTCACAAATCAAAATTTTAAAAGCTGAAGCAAAATTGCTTCTAAAATAAAAAAAATGCTCGGGCCTTCGGCCCTCGCCCTCCCTTTTAGATGGGTGTCAGCTCGGGCCTTCGGCCCTCGCCCTCTTTTTTAGATGGATGTCAGCTCGGGCCTTCGGCCCTCGCCCTTCCTTTTAAATGGGTGTCAGCTCGGGCCTTCGGCCCTCGCCCTCCCTATTAGATGGGTGTTAGCTCGGGCCTTCGGCCCTCGCCCTTTCTTTTAGATGGGTGTTAGCTCGGGCCTTCGGCCCTCGCCCTCCCTATTAGATGGGTGTTAGCTCGGGCCTTCGGCCCTCGCCCTTCCTTTTAGATGGGTGTTAGCTCGGGCCTTCGGCCCTCGCCCTTCCTTTTAGATGGGTGTCAGCTCGGGCCTTCGGCCGAGCTCGGGCCTTCGGCCCTCGTTCTCCCTTTTAGATAGGTGTCAGCTCGGGCCTTCGGCCCTCGCGACTCCTTTTTTTTAAAATGGTCAATCTAAACCTATGGAGCGTAGGCGAGGCGCTTGTGCAAAACCCCGCGCTACGCGCGGGGTTTTGCGGCACGCGCCTCGCGGGTCGTCAAAGGTCGCTGGGTTCTGGGCTCGTAACATGATCCTATTCCTATAACGATCAAGTTTCCTATAACGACCCTATTCCAATAAAATCCACTCACAAATCAAAATTTTAAAAGCTGAAGCAAAATTGCTTCTAAAATCAAAAATTAAAGACTTGAAGCAAATTTGCTCAAGTTTCACAAATTTCAAAAACGGAAGCAAATTTGCTTCAAGTTTCAAAAATTCAAACTAAAAGCAAATCTGCTTCAAGAATATAAACTTCAAAACATTTAGCAAATTTGCTTCATGCTATAAATTTCAAAACTTGAAGCAAAAATATGAAGCAGAAGCATGCTTCTGCTTCGGATCCATAACAGGATCCAGCTTATCCCACAACAAAATTTTTCCATATATACAAAATTCACCTTTAAACTCTTCTACGGTTTGCCCCGTATGGTCAGAGACGCAGAATAATTTTGCTTCTCTTCCAAACATTTCACCTGTCAATGATTTTTTCTCCCTCACTCCCATCATTCTCTGGGTACGGTACTCCACCCCACAAATTTTCGAACCTCTGTATGTTCGTTAAAATGTACCAAAAAAAATTGAAAAAAATATTTTTAAAGTCATCTCTATAAGAGCTTTCGAATGATATATCATTTGACATATCTATCTTGATTTTTGAAATTATAATTTTTTCCGGGAAAATTCGGCCGAAAAAAATCTTTAAAATTTTCAAAAAATCATAACTTGCTTAAAGTTAGCCTTTTTTGAAAATTTTTAAATTCTATCCGATGCAGCAAAATCTGCTCAATTCAGGAAAAATATATTCGGCCCGAAACAAATGCAAAAATCCTGAAAATTTTTTAAAAAACAGAAAAATTTTGGGTTTTTCGAAATTCGACCCCTATACCCCAAGTTTCGACTTTTTTCGAAATTTTTTGGGCTAAAAAATTTCTAATTTTTTGCTCTATTTTTTAATGCAAACCTCATCCCAATACAGCCATCCCACAAAAAGTTATGGCGATTTAAAAATCCCGAAAATCCCCCATAAAGGGGTACCCCTTTAAAAATAGGAGGTGGGACAAAATTTTCAAATTTTGACCTAAAAAAACGACCTATATAGTACTCTGACATGCGCTGAGTACGAATCCGGCGTCAGAAAAATTTTTAAAAATTTCCCCAGGAAGTTACTAAAAGCAAATCTGCTTCAAGAATATAAACTTCAAAACATTTAGCAAATTTGCTTCATGCTATAAATTTCAAAACTTGAAGCAAAAATATGAAGCAGAAGCATGCTTCTGCTTCGGATCCATAACAGGATCCAGCTTATCCCACAACAAAATTTTTCCCTATATACAAAATTCACCTTTAAACTCTTCTACGGTTTGCCCCGTATGGTCAGAGACGCAGAATAATTT